TGGATACATTCAATGGAAAATTTTCTCCATAGATAATTTTTCATAGAAAGTTACAAAAGTTTATCAATTTTAATATTACATAAGAATATTAAATTTTTTAATTTCAATTAAATATTTTAAATAGTCTTGAAATTTAAAATAAGTTATTTTAAAAATTGAAATGAAAATTTTTAGAAAAATTAAAACAATCGCATTAACGATACGAATTTGTTGCATCCTTTAACAAAATGGAAGTTTGCAACACATGTTAAATGATAAATTGTGCAATAATTATTGCATCAGAATTGTAAACTTTTATGAAATTTATATTATATTTCTATTTTTTTAATTACATTCGAATGAAATTAATACTTATAAATATTAATGTTATATTTCTGTTGTTCCTTTATATCAAAAATTAATTTCATCTCATTTGAATAATTTATTTCGAATAAAATAGGATCGTTTAATTTTATTTCCAATTAATTATCATTTAAATACATAAGTGAAACGAATTTGTTTAATAAAATTGTTTGTTGTTTTATTCTTTGTGAGAATCACAATACACGTATATGTTAGACGACGTTACTTTAAAAACACATACATACACAGAGAATAAGTGCTAATTAGTTTAAGTGCAAAAGTATATTAGAGAACTAGAGAAAGCTTTACCATTAACCTTTACGAATGCAATTTTCCACAAATTTTATGGATATACATTTTCTTCTGAATATTTAATCTCTAACAAGCATTGTATCATTGCATGTACATCATAATTTTTTCTTAGATTTCTCACAGAAGTAATGTTAAAAGAAATGTTAGAAAATAAAATAAAAAAATAATGAAATATTTCCACAAGAATATTATAATACATTTGAATGTATATTTTATCTCCCATTTTTAATTGAAATTCAACAAGCATGCTCCGTTTCTTTTCTTCTTAACTTTTATATACTGATCCATTCATTTTTTACATTTTTTATCTATTATAGGAAATTTTGGAAGAGACCACGAGAAAATCCATCGAGCACTTGGATAAAAGTAAAGTTCTCCAATAGGAGAGGTTGAAGTAAAAGGTTCGTAGACAGAGGGATTTTTAAGGTATCTCTAACAGCCAATTGTAAAATGAAGCTTCTACGATCGCAGCCAATTAGGTCAATAAGAGGAATCAAAGGGAATCGGCCTAATCAAAGGCACTGCGAACAGCCATAGGGGGTCGATGCATCCTCTTCCTTCCCTTCTATTTGCTCGAATGTAAGCGTTGGCAGTTTTCCTCTCTAGAATTCTATACTTTGATCGTGGTTAATAAGCTTAATATTTTTGGAAAATCTATTCTGCCCATTGAACGAAATATTCGAATCGAAGTGATCGAGTTGTTTGAGGCATTATTCGGTCGAGATATCGTAAGAATATATTGCGTTGAACGTAAAAAGTATTATTTATTTATTAAAGTTTCAATGGAAAAATTAAATTATCGTGAGTTTATAGTGAAAGAGTAATTGAATGTTTGATTGATAAATAATTGGAAAATAGCAAAAATTAAACAATGCTGGATCTCAGAATCAAAGGATTTATTTTTTAAATTTTTGGCCACAAAATTTTTAAAAATAGAAATCACAAAGATTAATATTAAACAAATTTCCTAATTGGAAAGATAAGAAAATTTGTTGAAAAGAGAATTAAAAAGTTGGCTCAATTATAAGAAATGATCCTTGTAAAAATTATACCTTTAAAGTGACATTACTTTTAAAGTGAATATAATAAAGATACAATTCTAGATGATCCCTTTCGTGTTGCAACACAATATTCCTCAAGTTACAATGAAAATTTACACTGACTTTTCGCTACGGTTTCTCCTTAATAAAAAAGAAACTAAATAATGCATATATATAAAGTTTTATGTATTTTATATTCAAAACAAGAAAAGACTTTATAAACTCTGGGAGTTGATTTCATCCTTTCAAAGTGATTTTCTGCAAGAATGAAAGCTGTTCTTTGCCACCAAGTTTCCAATTAAAATTAAAATTTTCAGGATGAATGAATTCTCTTGAGTTAAGAAAAGTTATCATCTCTTTAATTATGTGTATATTCAAATAATTTCAAAATGAAGATCAGTTTTATGAAGGATTATTATTTATATTATTTCAAAAATATCATATTAATTCATAAACATTGTAATATAATATCAAGTGACTTGAATAAAATGGACAGTCTTTGTTGTAAAGTAATGTACATGTAAAGGTCAGAACTCAAATTCCAATTCCAATACTCAATATGACCAGACAAAACTAGTTTATCAACGCCATCTGTCGTCAATCCTATTGCAAGTTTAACTAGTTAAACAATACCAATATTCTCTACTTGTTTTGACCAAGTTAAAATCAGCATTAACGAAACTAGTCAAAACTAGTCAGAAACAGTCTGCAATGCCAATCCATCAAAACTTAACCCAATTGGCCAATACTAGATACCAAAAGTACTAATCACCATCGAAATCAAATAAAGTGAATTAAAATCTAACCTAAAATTTGTCAATACTAAAAATATTCAGAAATTTGGGATTAAGTATAGTTTCTTTTTTTTTTTTT